TCCTGTGTTTATGGAGTCCTATCTAGAAAACCATTCAGGAGGATTGCAAAGATTTGGGTACAGCCTCAGAGTAGCCAGCATTGTCTCTATTTCATTTTTCTTCTGATCTGACCTTTATTCTTTCTTTCCTTCTACTGATTTTGGGTTTGGTTTTGCCTTGCTCTTCTAAAACCTTGGGATACATTACTAGGCTATTTATTTGAGACATTTTTATTTTAATGCAGTGTTTATTGCTATGAACTTCCTGCTAAGTGCTGCTTTTGCTGGGTGCCACAGATTTTGGTATACTGTGTTTCCATTTCAGGTGAGTGTGCTACCACTTGAGCCACATCCCCAGCCCCTGTGCTTCCATTTCAATCCAAGGATTATTATTCTTATATTTTGGCAATGCCGGGGATCAAATGCACAGGGCAAGTGCTCTGCCACTGAGCTAAACCTCAGCCCTTAAGGAGTTTTAAAATTTACCCTCTGACCTGCTGCTCATTCCAACATCCATTGTTCAGTCTTTGTGTATTTGAAGAATTCCTACAGTTTCTCTAGTTGATTCTAGAGTTATTCCATTGTGATCAGGAAAGATACAATAAATTATTTCAATTTTTTAAAATTTGTTAAGAATGATTTTGTGACCTAATATTTGCTCTATTCTAGAAAAAAATTCCTTGTCCTGATGAAACTGTATTCTGCAGATGTTGGGTGTAATATTCTGGAGATATCCATGATCAATAGTGAATTTAACTCTGGTGCTTCTTTGTTTTTGACTGAATTATCTATCTTAAAGACACTGGGATGTTGAAGTCCACTGTGATATTTGTATAAAGGCCTATCTCTCTCTTTAGGTCTAGTGGTGTTTGTGTTATGAAATTGGGTTTGTCAGCGTTCAATAAATACAGACGTGTAATTGTTGCAACTTCTGGGGAATTGATCCTTGCATCATCACATAGTGACTTTCTTTGTCTCTTCTTACTATTTTTGCCTTCAGGTCTATTTTGTAGGATAGCAGTGTAGCTACTTCTGATTGCTTTTGGATTCCATGTGCTTGCAACATCATTTTGCTTTTGCTTCCAGTCTCTGTGTGTCTTTATTGGTGAGGTAGTTTCTTAGACACAACAAATTGTTGGGTTTTGTTTTATAATCCATTCAGCCAGTTTGTGTTTTTTATTTGGAGAATTAAGACCATTGGTATTCAGAGTTATTATGGAAAGGTATAAACTTGTTTCTGCAATTTTGTTGATTCTTAAAAAAATCCTTCTTTGTTTCTTTGAATATTCTTTGTTTCTTTCTCTCTTATTCATCTTTGTAGGTTTGATGGTTTACTATATGATAATCTTATTTTTTCCCTATATCTCATTTCACTCTTCTAGCAAAACTTAGTCTTTTGTGAAGTCTGTGATTACTTTTTCCTCTTCTAGGTGTAGAATTTCCTTAAGCATCTTTTGTAATGGTGGTTAGTGGTCATAAATTCACTTATTTATGCTTATCTGGGAAAGTCTTTTTGTCTTTTCTTCAATTCTGAAGGGTAGGCTTACTGAGTATAATAATCTTCGTTGGCAGTTTTCTTTCAGAACTTGAAAAACATCATTCCATACCCTCTTGGCCTTTGGGGGGCAGGTAAAAATCTTACATTAATCTAATTTGTTTACTTTAAATGTAATTTGGCACTTCTCTCTTGCAGATTTTAACATTCTCTCTTTGTTGTGTACTTTTTATACTTTGATTATGTTATGGAAATGTTCTTTTCTGGTCATGTCTGTTTGGGGCCTCCTATATCTGACTATTCATGTATTTCCCAAAATTTGGGAAATTTTCCATTACTATTTAATTGAATAGTGTTTCCATGCCTTGACCTTTAATTATCCTTCTTTAGGTATGCTGCTTTTACAGATATTTGATCTTTTAATGCGGTCCCAGGGAGTTCGAAAGTTCCTTTCATTCTTTCTGATTTTCCCCTTTATTTCTCTCTTAATGTATTCTCTCAAAGACTTATCCAAGTTCCAATATTCTTTCTTCCACTTATTCTAGAATATTGTTGAGGATTTCAACTGAATTTTTAAATCTGACCTATTAAACTTTTCATTTCCAAGATTTCTGTTTGGTTCTTTTTTATTACCTCTGTCTTTTTGCTGAATTTCTCTTTCATATCTTGCATCATCTTTCATTCAACTGTTTATCTGTATTCTCTTGGGTTTCATTGAGCTTTTTAAAAATCATTGTTTTGAGTTCTTTATCAGGCTTTCCATCCACTTTGATGCCTTTAGAATCTGTTGCTGGCAAGTTATGATCATCATATAGTATCATATGACCTTTGTTTTTCTTGTTTCTTGTGTTTCTCTGTTGATATTTGTGCATCTGTTAGGAGGAATTCTTTTCTGCCTGTATGTGATGGCCTTCTTGGTAAGTGCCTTTCTCCTGACTACATATCCTGGGTTAGTTTTGTTGTGTAATATTGAACTTATTTCCAGCTAGACACTGCAGTATAATCTCCTTATGGCTTCTCTGACCATGATTTGTGGATTTGGACACAGTGTATACCATATTGGATTTCGAGAGACCCACTGCTTCTGCAGATGTCATGAGTTGGGTCACTGTTAATTCAGGCAGGTGTAGTATAGATGGCATAATGTGAAGAGTTCACCCTCTGTAGTTGTTCCTACAATGTGAGTGGTGGTCTCTACCAGGTAATGGGATTTCCAGGGGCTATGTTGACTTTGGGTCTGTTACTTAAAAGCAATTCTGATGCTTATTGTCCAGTTGTGGCAAAGGGCTTAAGCTCTTATATTTTAACTAGATACTGGTGCAGATTTGGGGGGAGACATGGAGGCTGGGAATCACAGCCTCCTCTGTGACCCTCATATCCAGTCTTGTCAGAAATGAGTGATTGAACAGGTGTGAGTAACCAATGTAGCATACTCGTGGAGTGTGATGTTAGCAAAAGTTGTCATTCCTTTCAGCCATCCACTTAGGCGGGCAGTGGCATGTCCTCCGTGGCCCAGAGTGAAAACAGGCAGGGCTTCTGGGCCCCAGCAGTGTGGACTCAGACAGAATGACTCTTCTCAAGATGACTACAGGTGCCAGAAGCCTTGCAGGGGTTGCAATGAACTGCCTTGCTAAGGCCAGCCCTCTGTGTAGTCCACATGACTGCAGCCCAGGACCTCAGCCCCTGCCTCTAGCTGTGCCCACCTAGGGCATGAGTTGATGGCTGGGAGATTTTGTCCCCCTATTAAGTGTCTGCCAAGGTTCAAGTGGCACTGGGCCATGGCTGGATCTGGGCACAGTTACTCTCAGCTGAGCTGCAGACAAGGTCAGAAGCAGAACACTCACCCAGTGTGCATGAGGCCCTGGGCTTGATCCCCAGCACAGTGAAATAAGCAAAAAAATTTTAAAACCCCACAAACAAAAACAAATACAAATTGAGTGTGGTGGTGCACATCTATGATCCCAGAAGCTTGGGAGGCCGAGTGTTGGGAGTCTCCCTGAGAACTCCCCGGGCCTTTCAAACATGGCGGTGGGCAAGTTGCCAGTGGGCAGATAACAAGTTGTTTTGAAAACCTTCTAATGGGCCCTCCCCGTCTTCTGTACTCGTGGACAGTTCATGCCCCCCATGAATCTTATGCAGGGCGGACGTGTGCACCATAGGTGATGACCTGACCTTTACGATGATTGGTCCGAGGAGCTTCCTGGTTTAAGATAAGTGACTCTCACTTTCTATCTAAGCTAGCAGCCATTTGCAATAAACTGCTTCATCTTTGTCACTGCTGTGTGTGTGCAAATCTTGGCCTTTCACCTAGGGAGGAGGATTTCAAGTTAAAGACCAGCAAGACCCAGGGTGTAGCTCAGTGGCAGAGCACCCCTGGTTTCTTTCTCATACTAACAAAACAAAAAACCCACTAGAACCCTGAATCAAAACCACAACCACAACAAAAGGGGAAAAAAGTAAATTAAAAATAAAATAAATGTAAAAAAGAAAATGAAAAAGGATAAAAATAGTATAATTAAAAAAACCTCAACAGAACAAAATAAAGAAAAAAACAAAACTAAGACTCTTCCTCCCCCCACCCCCAGCTTCTGCACTGAGCAAAGCTCCTCTCTGGTCTCTGGCGGTTGCTGGGAGTTTGTACCCCACCCTTCGGCACTGGTGCTGCAGGTGTTCAGGGAGCACCTGCAGGTGGAGAGGTCGGAGGAGTGAGCTGGCATGGGGCCTGGTGGGGCCAGGCGTAGATTCCCTCTGGAGCTTTTCAGGCTGTGCCCTGGGTTTGGGTGAAAGCTGCCACTGAAAAGGTCCCCAGCCACATCTGGGGAGCAAGGGAACCACAGAGTTCTTTACTTGGAAGGGGTGGTGGGATCTGTAGTCCTGGACTGGTTTCCTGGATCCTAGCACCCAGCCAGACCTGACGCATGTGGCCACACCCAGCCTCAGGGGCAGATCCTGTTTGCCAACCGAGGGCAGCGCTTCTGCTCTCCTCCACAGTGCAGCCCTGTTCCCCATCGCACAGAGCTTCCACAGCTCCCATCAGCAACTCCTCGAGGCTAAACCGTGCTGTGAGGCAGCCACCCACTTAGGCGGGCAGTGGCATGTCCTCTGTGGCCCAGAGTGAAAACAGGCAGGGCCTTCTGGCCCCCAGCAGTGTGGACTCAGACAGAATGACCCTTCTCAAGATGACTACAGGTGCCAGAAGCCTTGCAGAAGATGCAGTGAACTGCCTTGCTAAGGCCAGCCCTCTGTGTAGCCCACCTGACTGTGACCTGCTTCTGTGCTTGAACATGCTTTGCCCACTTAATAACCAGTGTTTGATGTCTTTTTACTCTGGAGTACATAGTAGATCTCCTCCTGTTCACTTCCCTATAGATGCCTGTGGCAGAGCTCTGCTACAGGTCACTCGACTGGCTTCCTGTCTATGACAAAGGCACTGCTCCTCCCACTCTACTGTAGAGTGCGAAGGTTGATGTGGCAGAAGGAAGTTGTCGCGACCCCTTGCCCGCAAGGAAGACGCAACTCGGGAATCTTCTTTCAGCAGTTTATTCAGGCCCTTGATATTTCTTCTTCTCCTTCTCGGATGCCCCTCCCAGCCTTAATAAAGCATCTCAAGCCCAAATGCGAAGCTGCCACGTGGAGCTTTCTCATAGGGTGGTGAAAAACCATGCACCAACTCTCCCAAATAAGGAGTTGTTTGTCACAGACCACAGCGGAGCCAGCGCCATCTTGTAATGGCGACCATAGTCTGCAGAAACGGCAGAAGCGGCTCACCACAGTTCCCCCTTTCTTTTTTCTTAAAACAATACAGGCGAGAGTAGAGGTCCTATCCCACTGTGCAGAAGTGGCTGCATAGCATGGCTCAGTCCTAAGGAGGGCCCTTCCCCAGATCTGAGGCCATATCAGCCGACGCCTTTTTTCGTGGGGCGGGGCGTGGATGCGTCTAACCCGCATGCAATAGGACATGCTCTCCTTGAGGTCCACGTCAAGGATCACTCAAGTGCAGTGCCTTGCCTCGCATCCTGTATAGTGATGATGGTGGACGAAGGGGGATAGCTGAGGCTGAACTGTGGCTGTTTATAACGACAAACAAGTTGACAGCACCCTGAAAGAAAGGCATGGACTTTAAGGCGATAGAAAAGCACTAGTGTGGAAACCCATCTGCGTGCAATGGTAACAAGACCTGCAGAGTGCAAGGGCTATCCAGCACTGGGAGAGAATAAGAAAGAGGACATGCCAATCCCAGTGCAATGTGAAACTAACTTGGGGTGCAATGGCCATGCCCAGAAATCACTGTTTAAGATGTGCAAGCCAGATTTGTGGAGAAATGCCATTTTCTAAGGCCGCAAGAGCTTGTATGATCATAGCCTTATCGTGAGCACTGCGGGCCTTAAGGCGACAGAGAAACCACAAACAGAGGAACATACCGAAGCAACATATTGCACCAAAAATGCCTACCCCCACCCACTCTTTGAAGAAGGAAAAAGCAGAAGATATCCAATCGGTGAATTGACCCAAAGTCACGGGATCGACACGGGTACTGTTCAAGACAGCTATCTGGGTTAGTTGAGACTGGATCATGTTTTCTGCTTCCATGGACCAGGTTCCGGATGGATACTCCCCGATGATGTGGGAGGCATTTCTGGAATCATAAAATCTGACAGAGGTTATACATAAATGTGCACGTTGATCAATACAACCCAAATGTACTAGATCAGACAATTCCTCAACTTGAGCTTGAAGTAGATCTATCCTTTGATTAGCAGCCAGAATCCCAGATAAAATGTGTTGATTAATTCTACTTTGAGATTCAAGTATGGTGGATGTTTGTTGAATAACCTGATTAATAGTGGCAGCAGTTTGAACCTGGCTGGCCATGGCTACTCCAGCTGTAACTGCTGCAGCAGCAGATACCGCCATAGCTGTCACTATAGCTGCCGTAATTCCAAAATCTCTATGGGCTCTAATCAGTTCAACAATAGGAAATGACTCTGGATCTGCAGTAACCGGGATCGGGACAAAAGTTGGAATTTTCATAACCACTGCCATAGGCCAGGATCCATTCCAACACTCAGACAAATAACAGGTAATATTAGAGCAATTAAGCATCCCCTGTAATGTATCATTAGCCAAAAGAAACAGGAATGGAGATTGGAGACGGACTGCTGCGGAGGGTAATGTAGCATTAGATAATTGTGAATTATTTGCAGAAATTTTAAGCCTCCTACCTCGCTCCGAGTCTTGGGTACTGCCAGAAACATTAAACAGCCAACTTTGGACTCCTAATATTTCCCTGGGGAAACACAAGCGCGGACTAGACTAGCCCAATCTGAGGGAGTCATGCAAAACCTAATAAGTCCCTCCACCTGAGTGAGAGTGAAAGCGGCATCTATGCCATAAGTGCGGACAGATTCTGCCAAGGTTTTAATTATCTTAAAGTCTAAAGGCTCATGATATCTTCCCCTGTTATTGTCCTGAAATACAGGGTATGCAAGTCCCATATCTGTATTAACTGTCCTCCAAACTTGTGCATGAAAAGATCTCCCGGAACCTTGGCTCCCCCCCACCTACGGAGGTGGGGCAATCGGCACCATATCTTCTTCTAGATATTCTACCTCCTCCTCCTCAGAGTTTTGTTGACCGATGTTAACTCCCTTCCCCTTCTTACAGTAGGCCTGCGTGCCCTGTGTCTCCTTTTTCTTCTTTTTCATTTTTATCTTATGTAGTTGTTGTAACAATATATCAAGGTCCTCAGAACTCTCTGAGTCGCTTGTGTTCTCAGGCGTTTTTAATTCGGTCAAGTCTGGGTAGAGCCTTCTCCTATTTTTATCTTCAGGCTCTTTTGCCTTCTCACTACTGTTACTTTTAATACTCTCTGCCACTTCACTACATGATCCTTCAGATTTTTCCTCATGCAGTTGCTCAAGAATAGCTTGACCCTCACTCACAGCTTCCTGGCATTTACCATCTGTTATACATCCTCTAACTAACTTCCAAAGTGGAATAACGCCACCCTCTAAGGTGCCTTGCTCACGAGCGAAATCTAGATCTTTGCCTAATTTATCCCAACTAGGTACAGTAAGGCTGCCCGAAAATGCAAACCACGGTGCAGCGATATCTATCTTCTGTAAAAATCTCTGTAAAGTACTATGTTTCACTTCCAGGCCCTTGGAACGTAACAGGCCATCTAGGGCCAGGAGAAGCGGACTTGAAGATGCAGCACCCATGACACAACAACAAAAGAAGCACAAAAAACAAAAGCGAAATGACACAACAAAAGAAACACAGAAAACAAAAGCGAAAGTACACAGTGCAGCTGCAATAAAATGTAATGCTCTCTCTTTCTTTACAGAGGAGCTGCCCCGCTTTGGTCGTGGATCCCACTTACCTGGGACTAACCCCGCTTTGGTCGTGGATCCCACTTACCTGGGACTAACCCCGCTTTGATCGCGGATCCCACTTACCTGGGACTAACCGGTGCACCACCCCTGACTGCTGAAAGTTCTGGTTCCCGGGTCTCGGCACCACTTGTCGCGACCCCTTGCCCCGCAAGGAAGACGCAACTCGGGAATCTTCTTTCAGCAGTTTATTCAGGCCCTTGATATTTCTTCTTCTCCTTCTCGGATGCCCCTCCCAGCCTTAATAAAGCATCTCAAGCCCCAATGCGAAGCTGCCACGTGGAGCTTTCTCATAGGGTGGTGAAAAACCATGCACCAACTCTCCCAAATAAGGAGTTGTTTGTCACAGACCACAGCGGAGCCAGCGCCATCTTGTAATGGCGACCATAGTCTGCAGAAACGGCAGAAGCGGCTCACCACAGGAAGTCACCCACTTCACTTCAGTCACAGTCAGACAGCTAACCTGACAGTAGGAGAGCGTGGAATGAGCCCAGCTGTGTGCCTGGGAAGACAGTGGCAGTCTCTGCCACTCACTCACATTTCCCACTAGTTATCTTTCTGCTACGAATTTGCATGGTAGATAAATGATAGATGATGAATAAGACAGGTAGACATTACAGAGACAGGTGATAGGAAGATAGATGGTTGATGGTAGGTTGATAGATGACGGAAAAATACAAAAATAGAGAACAGATGATGAATAGATAATAGATGAATGGATAGATAAACAATAGAGAGATGCTATCGATAGATGATAAACAGATGTATGATAGGCAGGTAGGTAGGTAGGTACATAGACACACACACACACTGCTCCAGGAAACCACTTCACCAAAGGGGGTCTGCAGCTCTTTCGCCTTTGGTCACTCGGACTCCACCATTTCCCAAGTCACTTAGCTGCCGAGACTGAGTGGTCCCAGATCACTGCTGTCCCTTCAGTGAGATGGTCTCATACACGTGTAACTCTGTCAGATCCTTTCATTGTGTTGCATTCCATCCTAGGAGTCCCTGTCCTCAGCAACATTTTACTCTGTGAAGCTGTCAGGCGCACAATGTCTTTACCCACCTAGTGTCCAGATTTGTGTTTCTTGTACTTTCACCAATAACAGGGATCAGGTCTGGGGCAGGAAATATATAAGGCAAGTTTGGAGTGTTTTATATGCCAGAAAGTAAGAAAGAGTTCAAAATAAACAAGTTAAAAACACTCTACAGATATGAGGATACACCAAGGGGTGCAGATCTGAAAGGAAGAGCTTCCAACACCCAGAGCCAGGACAATTTGAGCAACAAAATAAGGCCGAGTTGATTAGAGCCCAATTAAGTATGAAATAAGTGCCAAGAGTCCATGCAACACAAATGAATGAATAAATAATGATAATGAGGGAGACATACCGTCTCCTTGCACAGGAACCCACATGAACCGTGCAGACATCCCTGCAAGGAGGCACCACACAGATCTGCACCTCGGGTGAGAGCTATTCCCTCTCACCTGCACAGCAATTCCCTCCCAAGAGCACAGTTCCAGAAGGGCACAGGGTGGGCCGAGTGGAAACACTGTCCTGTCTTCACAACTTTTCTAAAGGAAAAGAAAATGTTTTTGAAAAACCCAGAGAGTTTGAGGCAGAATGGAGACTCTCTTGCTTGTCTTGAGTTAGCCAATAGTACGTGAAGCCTCTCTGACAGGACCATGGGGCAATTTTCTGGGTGGCCCCCAGGAGCAGGAGAGTCCCACCAACAGCAGCCATAGCACCTCAGTCTTTCAACCCTAGAGATTCTTCCATCAGGCAGACCTTGGAAGAGGACCTGAGCCTGAAGGGAAGTGTGGCCTGACCAATGCCTTGCAGTCAGCTGGTGAAACCTGAGCATGGGACCCAGCTGGTGGGTACCAAGACTCTGACCAGCAGAAACACTGGGATAATGAATGTGCTGCTCCTGGCTGCTGAGTCTGTGATGCCTTGTCACACAGCAGACCAGGAGCGGTGGTGGGCCTGGGTTCTCTGGTAGACACCAGGGAATGTGCCTTTGATCACAGAGATATGTCTGGGTCACAGTAGGCATCACCTAACATAGCAGATGTCAGAGAAAAGAACCCTGAGGTGGGGAGAAGGCACATAGCCGACCAGGCCCATCCAGCTCGTCCTGGGGTTCTCAAGGTGTCTGCTGGGCAGAGTGGCCCTGCTGCTGGGATCTGTCTGCCCTCCTTCATCCAGGCACACTCAGCATGTACCTGTGGAACCTGCCCTGGGTGCCCCTGGTGCAGAGGGGACCACCACCCTGCATATGTTCCCTGGCAAAACTGTGAGGCCCCCTCAACCTGCAGAAAACCCTGGGAGATCTGAGTGGACATCATGGGCACAGGACACCACCCTGTGTCCAAACTTGGAACCACAAAGCAGCTGGAGAAAGCTACAGCAGAAGGTGGGGGCGTGGCAGAAAAGAAAAGAAAAGCGTTTCCCTGTGCTGCTCCAGTGACCACACTCTGAGAACCGGCATTCTGTTGAAGATAGACATCCAGTGAAGAGGAAGCATAGTAGATGTTATTTCTATTGCAAAGGTGAAAAGTCAGAAGAGCTTGTCTTCTTTGATGCCTGGGTTTCGCCTACTGTGTCAGGAGTTTTCAGAGAAGCAAACCAGCAGAGTGTGTGCGTGAGTTTGTGCGTATGTGCATGTGCATGTGCGTGTGTGAGAGGATGGGTATGCATGAGTGAGAATGTCTGTGAGTATATAAAGGAGACCCTGCAAGTGCTCAGTGCATGTGCATCCTTTCTGGGGCCCCTGCTGCAAGGGCCACACCCCCACCTTCTGCAGCAGCTTTCTCCAGCTGCTTTGTGGTTCCAAGTTTGGACACAGGGTGGTGCCCTGTGCCCATGATGTCCACTCAGATCTCCCAGGGTTTTCTGCAGGTTGAGGGGGGCCTCACAGTTTTGCCAGGGAACATGTGCAAGGTGGTGGTCCCCTCTGCACCAGGGGCATGTCCAGGGCAGTTTCCACAGGTACATGCTGAGTGTGCCTGGATGAAGGAGGGGAGACAGATCCCAGCAGCAGGGCCACTCTGCCCAGCAGACACCTTGAGAACCCCAGGACGAGCTGGATGGGCCTGGTCGGCTATGTGCCTTCTCCCCACCTCAGCTTCCCTGGCTGCTACACGGGACCTTCATCCTCACCCTGTAGCCTACTTGGCTGACTTCCCCTTCTCCTGGACACATTGTTTTCCTTCAAGTAAAAGGTAGGCCTGGGAAAGGAGGGGGTCCAGGTCTTGGGGTGAAGGAGGGAGAAGCTGCGACATGATCCCCATCTGTGGCAGCCCTGAGCAGAGGGCAGCAGGGTTCTGGGTGTTTGGTTAGCACAAGTGGCTCAAATTGGGCTCTAAAAGCAGGTTAGGGTGAGGCCCAGTGCTCACAGCTGTAGGTCTAAGGTCCAGGAGCTGAGTGACTAGAGGAGTGAGGAAGGCCTACCAGGTAGTGCCTGGAAAGTTCTGGAAGTTCATAGAGGTCAGGAGGCCTGATAAGGGGCTGGAGTTTCCTGTGAAGCCCTCCTGGCAGCATCTTCTCCTTGCACTGCCCCTTGGCCTGGCCCTCACTGGGGCCTCACCCACACAAGGCTGGGCTGACGATGCCCCGGGGTGCAGTGAGCATCTCCACTGCCCACACCCAACCCAGCTGAGGTCCAGGAGGGCAGAAATGGAACTCCACCCCTACCCCCAGAGGCAGTCCTTATCTGTGAAAGAAGAAATACCTCTGCTGGGAGAATGATCCTCTGCACAAATGCTCAGGTACTGAGCCTTATCCTTAGCTGGACCCCAAGACTATAATTAAAGGCTCACGAGGAAGGGATTATCACAGAGGAGGGGCAGAGCCCTCTACGACCTGAGGCTGGCAGCAGAAGCCCAGTGCTACCAGAGATAACATTCAGGACACTCTCCCTTCTTGGCCTCCAGGGACTAGTCCCTTCCTGAGAAGCAAAGTCCCAGGAAGACTATCTGGCTTGGGTCCTGGGAGGCAGGAGGAGAGCCTTGGAAGGAGCCCCACATTTAGAGTGCGATGTGATTTCTGGGGAGGAGCAAAAATAATGCTCCCTGTCACCATCATTCTAAATAAACTGACAAGGGCATGACTGTCTTCAGGAAGGGTAGTTACCATGCCCAAGTCTGGGGGAGCTGGTGATGGCCATGGATGAGGCTGATGTCCCCTAATCTGGTCTGGAAACAACCAGAGTACCCTCTTGCCGGGTTTCTGTTCTCGCGACTAAAGGGCTCAGAGGTCACCCCAGTTAAACTGGGCTAACTGGGCTGCATGAAATAACCACACAAGAGACACAATACCTTTTTCTTTGGGGTCACTGTGACGGCTCCTCTGACCTAAGGGTCCGCAGAGAGAGAGCAAGAGCATGCGCTGACCCCTTTTATTGAGGAGAAGCTATTCAAATGAGGCAAGGGGTCAGGTTTCAGGGGGCTGAGTATCTTCATGATGTCCACTGTCAGCAGGTTGATTGACACCTGTGTAGGCCACACCCAAGGGCACAGTACGAGAAGGGGACACACGCAAGGCACTTCCATGGAAGATTCTATCCTAACCAGGGCAAGGGGTTATATTACAAAGGAACAGGTGAGCGTAGCTTCACCCATGGGGCTGTAGCAAGATACACCCATGCACGAGACACCGACCACATTTCTGTGACTGAGCGCCTCAGCACCCAGCCGGGGAGTGTGACCCAGTCACGTGTAAGGTTGGTCTCCCACACCCTCTGGGATGTGGCCTTTATTACCATCATGACAATATCCTGCACCATTGATGGTGGAGCATCTTCCCTTCACGTTCTCTCATGCCTGACTCAGCTTCGCATCTCCTGAATCTAGCACAGTGCCTGGCTCATGATGGAAACATCATACATCCTTATATCAACTTTTCCAATTGTCCACCCATCCACTAATCCTTCTATCCATCCACACATTCATTCATCCATCCATCTACACATTCACTCATCCATCCACTCATCCATCTACATTCACTCATCCATCCACAATTCACACATTTCACTCATCCATCCATCTATCTGCCCACCCACCCGTCTATCCACTTACCCACCAACCCACTCCATCTATCCCCTTATCCATCTATCCCGATGCCCCAACTGTCCCACACTGACTGAAAACTCAGCTAAGCCATATTCTGCTGCTCTGGGCCCCAAACATTCAGTGGTGGACACACAGCCTCACAGGGCTTCTGCTCTAGGTAGGAAGCAGACAGTGAGCAAGATGTTATCGAGGAGATGTCATCTGAACCAAGTCTCATGATCTGTTGAGACACATGAGACCACGACGCACCAGTATGGAGATGGAAGTGTGCTGTGTGGGAAATGGCAGTGGAGCCCGTTGGGGGATGTGGAGCAGAGGCAGTGACAAGACGTGGTGCTGGGG